AAAGATTTGAACGACAACGGCAGTCATAATGTTTTTATTTAGTAGTTATAACTCAAATATTACTTCCCAAGAATAAATATGTTGCAAATAGGAATCAATGAAAAAAAAAACGACGTAGTTCTCTAAGAAATAATATTTTTTTGGAAAATCCGCCAAAAAATGTTTATTCGTCTTCCAAAAAATCCGTCGTATCATCCGTATTAGGATGAAGAACTTGTATCGGTAGAAGCCGCCGAATCGTCCAAACGCCGAAGTCTCTCTGATGCTATTCGTATTTCATCTTTGCAATCTTCAATGTTTGCACGGGTATCATCGTTTAGATCCGATGAGTTTCTTATGCACTCTTCCAAGAAATCAATTGTTTCTGTTGCAAAAACACCAATGTCCCGTGGTCTATGAATAGGATCCCGTTGTTGAGCATTATTCCATCGGTTGACCATATGTTCTAATTCTCTTTTTGTTACACTAGCCATTTTTAAGAACTGTCCTTGTACCTCTTTTAGTTCTTCGAGCATTGGTAATCTGTGTCGATTCAACGCCAATTCTTCTCTCGTGACAATAATTTGAGCTCCAGCCATTGTATTTTTTTTCCTTCCTCTTATTTTAACTGATTGATTTGAGTTTTGCTCTTGAATTGATATCGAAAACGGTTCAATTTTGTATTTGGTGCACTACTTGTCTACTATGATATTTCCACATAGAAAAGCTTTTTCATTTTTGATAGTATCAAATCAAATTAAAAAAAATAAATCCCCGTGACAAAACTACTAGGATATAGAAGATTAGTTTTGGTCGCCGAATCAATGGCAATTTGTAGTCGAAAATTCGGTTGCTATCATTTATTGCCATTCAACAGCAATATGATTGTATATTCAAACGGAAGAGAGGTCGTCCTATGCGATAAAAATAACAATAGAATCACATACACATTCAAATTTTTCCTTACAAAAGAGATACGATAACAGACAACCCCGACAATATCTTCAAAAAAAAAATCATTCGAATTAAATTGTTATCATTTTATTTTGGAAATTAATTAATAATATGGAAAAAGGGTAAAATTACGACACAAAAAATTGTTTATCCATACATCACGTGAATATTCATTTGATTGGCAAATCGTTGACAATGAATGAAAAAAAAATTCGCAGACTTCATTGACTAGATGTATTTATTTGGTATATAATAATCGTGTGTTTGTCATGTAACGTTGACCAACATCATAATCCAATCAAACACGCTTAAGCCATTCCGCCGTAAGTGGTTTCGTCTGGATCCAGGAACAAAAAGTAGCCGAAGATCGTCAGGTAGACAACTATGTTACCGCAAATAGTCAAGATCGATGCGCCCAATTTGATCTAGAAAAAAATCGAATGGGTTTTTTGCGTTCATTTAAGGATTTTTTCAATCAATAAAACAGTAATGTGTTGTCTGAGAGCCAAAATGTCCGGAAATTATGTCCGGAAGCCAAAAGTACTTACAATGCCACAACGTTCCAGAACGATGGGTAATCCAAACGAGCTGACAATAAAGCCCATGGTCAAAAATATGGATAGATCAACGTATGATGGTCCAAAGAGGGCACTTTGCATTGAGCGCTTCATGATTAGCGTGGGAATCACCGAAAATACGTAGAATAATATGACGAAACTTGGCCACCACAAGCTAAAATCGATATAAAACGAAAACAATCAACTTAAAATTGATTCCTTGCACACAATATCAACTGACGATAAACTTACTTGTACTGTGGTAGAGCACAGGCCAGAATCACCAGCGTCATGCCAATACTGCCCGCCAATGCTAGGTTAACCAATCTATAGTAAACAATTACATTTTAACATTTTAATTTAACGCGCAATTTCAAATTACACAAGACAATTTTTGTTTCTAAATGGGAAATTGAATAAAATTGAATGAAGAAAAGAAGAAAGGAAGGCTTACGCTATGCAATCAGATCCAATGTTTGCGTGTTGATAACAGGACAAAAGGAAATCAGTCATTTTTGATTGGGTTTTACATTTTGGCTGCTGATTCTCACTCGAAACAGCCCAATGGAATTAATATAGAAATGAAAATTACCTTTGAGTTCAGTCATTGTTGCAGCGATACAAAAGTACAACTAATTTATTTTGTTGCAAATTAATTTGTCTTTATGGTCGAATACAGCGCGTTTGACAATTCACTGAAATGCCAATGTATTGGTGTGCCATAGCTGTCTGCAATACATATATGTGTGCGTATGTAATCAGACCGCCATTTTTCATGCATTTGGACAAACGTCAAATACGCTCTTGTTTCTCATGTTTTTGCTGTGTGTACCGCATTCAAAATTTCTGTTAAACGGACTCGAGTCAGACCAAGAAAATTGTGTTGTTTTTGTTTGTGTTCCGTATCAGTGAGACCTAGTAATTGGCTGATTGTCTAATTTTTCTGAAAAATTAATTGTGAATTTTGAGTATTTTGTGCCGGAATTTTTTTTCTAGAGATAATATAATTTTCGGCATTTAATTGAAATAGTCTATGACCATGGTTGACCCAGCAACGGTTTGTATTTCATGAAAAATCATCTTTATGATCGAAATCTTTGAGAAAAAATCCGTTTTTTCCCCGCAGAATCTGGCATTTTTGCGCAAATGTGGCATCCCGGAATGGGTTTTGGTGGACGAGGATTGGAAAGATTTTGTTGGATTTTTCAAAGAAAATATCAGCGACACCAACATTTTGACAGATGAAGAATTGGTTGAGTAAGTGACGGCAACTGATCGCGAAATTGAGATTTTGCTTCTAATTTGTTTTTATTGATGGAAGAATGGCATAGATTTTTCAATTCTTTTTTAATTTATGTATTGATCAACATTTCTTTTTCAATTTGTCTATTGGTCAACATAATCAAAACAAATTTCAATGGAATTTTCCTCAGATTGGCTCGATTGAAACAAGATGAAAATGTAAAAACAACCACACTTGCCAAGCGAATGGATAAAATTGCCAAAGAATATAATGGCATCTGGTCAGTTAACGAAGATGATATTGTCGAAGTGGAAAAACGCATTGAAATTGCCACACAGGAAGAAGAATTTTATGATGATCTCATTGCTAAAGCAAAGTAAGAACTTTTTTTTACCGAATTCTATGTTCGTCTCAGCATTGAGAATAGTTGAGAGAGAAAACTGTATTTGGTATTCGCTTAGGTCTGCAACCTTGGATACCATCGAAGAGATAACCGTATTGAAGGGACGAACGACAAGAATCATATCGGAAGAGCCAATTTTAGCGGACGAATGTCTAAAACAAATGGAAGAATTACAAGAAGTTAAATTGTCAAACGAACGCAAGATCAGCGAACTGGGACAGCTCTATTTGAAACCGGTATGGATGTTAAATAATTCATTTTTATACTGAGTCACATGAGAGGAAAACCAAAGAAAATCGGTAAAATATTGATATGCATTGATTCGATAATGATGAACTTTTTCATATTGTTCACCGTATGTAACGGCTATAACTGAACGACAGCTCGTTAATAGAACGACAGCTAATATGATTAAGGTACAATCTTAATTAAAATTTTCAATTGGAAACGTAATCATTGGCATTCAATTCAAATACCGTATTTGAGATAAATGTGAAAATCATTTGAACATCAAATAGTATTTGACAAATACAGAATTTATTTTAATATATTCATTGAATATTATTCAAATGAGTATGAAATTATTGAATTGAATCGATAAATTTCCTTTTTATTTTGAAATTCAATCCAACGTTCAATTTGGAGAGAATTTTAAATCATTCAATTTTTCGGCTACAAATATTTTCAATCATTAATCACAAAAAAATAACCAAATAATTGAATCAATGTTGTATTACTCATAGGCTCAGAATCCATTATTCATGCATCAAATGCCGTTGAATGATTATTTTCGTCAATTGGAACAGTTCAATACGAGTTCCAAGCATTTCATGCAGAAGAATTTCAAAGTTCAGGTATGGTGCCCCCCTCTCCGCCCTTTTCAATTTGAATTTAGCCAAGAAATCTCAATAAGAATCAATAAATGAAAATTGCTAATTTTTTCAGAGTGCCGAAGAAGAAATATCAGATGACAAGGACATCGATGATAAGGCTCGTGTTTTGACCGAATTGAGTGTGTTGGCTGATCGGTATGTCGATTTACAATATTTTCATTTCATATTTTACAATATTAATATGATATCACATCTCGTATCATCATTTACAAGCAAAACCAAAAATCCAATAAATTTTCTAACTATGTAACAATAAAAAATTGGTAACATTTCAGATTGCTCAACGCTTATAATAAATTGTATTTAGCCGAGATGAATTTCAACGCAAAAACCGCATTAACAAACCAACTCAAAGCGCAAAATTGGTCACCATCGACCGTCGGTGGCATGAGGTTTGTTACTTTAAAATTCGAACAAACATGAAACATTTCAATTCTAAAATATTCAATGGTTCTAGGCGTGAAATGTCGGAAATGGAGCGTGATATTGAGCTGAACGAATCACAAAAACAGCATTTGGTGCATAAATTGCAAGAGCAAGCGGCCGAATTAGCGCAGCTCGATGTTGAAGCGCTTGTATTTGATAGCAATCAAAAGCGAATGGGTCGTGCCAAACAGCGTATGGAATTTATAACCCGTTTTGCTGATATTATCTCGGAAACCATGGCATTGTCGGAACTATTCTGGGTATTGATGCAATTGGACATGGAACGAATGAAAAATCGAAATAATTACGATTCAAAATTGGACGCATATCGCTTGGAATCGTTGTCGTGCAACCGTCGGATTGTAAGATAATTTGTGCTTGATTTGTGTACTTTTTTCTCTCGAATTTCAAAGTGAAATGTATGTCTCTCTTTGAAAAGGAACTCATGAATATGATTGGAAAATTGAGCGATACCACATCGGTTCAGACGGTCTGCAATGGTTTCATGGAACTCTTGGAGGTGAATCCAAATGTGTATGATGCATCAACCGTAGAACAAGCCATCAAATGCATTATAACCGTCGACGAATTTAAATCGAGCATCACAAAACTGATCCAAAACACGGAAAACAACATCACAACGCTTTGGCGCAACAATGACTTTTTCAAAAAGGCGTAAGATTTTTAATTTCATAAAAAAAAAAACAATCGAATAACATTAATTGTGTATTTATTTACAGTATCAGAATTGTGGAATTAATTCGTAAATTCCTCTACGATGGCCCAATCGCCAAACCGCAGCAATACAGTACTTGGTATCGCATGAAGAAATCATTCTTGGAACGTGAACTTCAGGCGATTAATGAAATAACTGAGAAGAAACGGGATGAATGCAGCCATTACATAAAAAAATGGGTTTGTATCTAATGTTATTATCGATGATTTGAATTTGGCCCAGTAAAACTTATTTTTTTTGTCTCTACTCTTTCCAGTCGAATGACAAGTATTGGCGACACAAACAAGTGCTTTGGGTGTGGTTTTTGACGGAACCGAAAAAAGTGATAAAATCACTAAAATCGATCAGTGCGGAAGCACAGCAGCGAAGCAAAGCTGCCACAACTGCTCCACGTCACATTGCTGGCATCGTACGGAAGATCTAATCTCTACACCTGAACTTACTAAGCAACTGATCGTGATAAATAAATTATTCATCTGATGGAAGGCCTGATATGAATCAAAATACGTTTCATGTAATAATTATCGAAACAGAAATTTATTGATTACAAAAATAGATAGATAATAGCTATAAATCATTTTCACGCGAATGTCGAGTGAAAATAAAATAAAATTAAGGTACTTTGCGAGTTAGGAGATCTGTGAATGTCTTATATTTTGAGTATTTTTCTCTGTAATTTGTTATCAAAAAATTTCTCGTCTTATTTTAAATTCAACAATATGTAATAAAATACTGTTTTTTTGTTGTAAAAATCTAATTAAATCTCATACAGACTCACGGAGCAATGTTCATGAGCTTTTTTGAATAATTGTAACTGTTTTTTGAGCATGGCATTTTCGGCTTCCAGCTGTTTGTTTCGCTGCTGTAGCGCATCATGAAATATTTTTTGTTTATTTCGATATCGTTTGGCCGCCTCACGATTACGTTCGATTGCGGTATTATCATGAAACGTGGCGATATTTCGTTTGACCACCGGTAGCCTTATCTCAACCTTAGGGTTATTTCGGGTGTGCGATTCGTTTGAAGTTGGAATATAAAAATTTGCGATGGGGACTTTTGCATCGGGCTCGTTATCGTCAATGGGCAGTGATGTTCTAAGTTTCAATAGTGACTCACGAATTTTTTCCTTTATTGGATTCGAAACGATCGGTACGATTGGTTTTGGGCAAATTTTGCGAAATGTTTTCGGTGTGACCTCATCAGTTGTGGCTTTTGTATTATCGGCGATCTTGATAGTTTTTGGCGGTGTTGGACCCTTTTCACAAACAACAATCGTCTTAATATCTTTTTTATCACTGACATTTGATACAACAATTGGATTGGGCGCGGTTGATTCATCTGTAACGTTCACGATTGTCCTCTTATCTAAACTTGGTTGTTTTGCTGTATCGATCAGACTTTTTGCGTCAATTTTCGTTGAATCGTCTTTGTTATCGCCAATCGTATTGTATGGAATAATGTGCGGTGTATGTAGGGTATCCTCATCGTTGCTCTTAATAACTTCCAGGGAATTTTGTGTGGTCAATAGAACGCTGGGCCGTTTCGTTTTACAATCGATCGCCTGTCGAAATGTCTCTTCAAACGGATTCACGTGCTTCAGGTCATCGAATAGGCCAAATTCCTCACAATTCCGGATCAATCGTGTGGTAGGTGTCGGTGTTTGATCAGCTGAAAATGTTCCATTTAAATGGCAAACAGACATTTAGATCATGTGTATCACAGACACATTATTCGTTGCATGTAAACAAAAAACGGAGCAGCACTAAGCAAACCTACCGATATATTTGGCATTTTTAAATTCAATGCTATTTAACGTCAATGTTATATCACGCTCATGCTTGATCGCACCGAAACAACTCGCATCACCTAAGCATTCTTGTAGAATTTCCGGAGACAAATGAATTTCGGATTTCATGCCATCCATTGTTTTATGACACAGGAAAAAAACAAACATACACTGTCCAATCAAACGAATGCAACAAAAGGAAGAAAAAAACGTAACAACGGAAAATTGAAAACAAATATGTATATGAAATAAAGAAGAAGAAAAAAAAGAAGTTGTGACGTTGTTTCAGAGAGAACGAGAAATCGTGCACTGTTTATTCGCCAGCGACGAATTGACAGAAAACAAAAACAGAACCAAATGTCAACACATCGCACGCGTACACACTCACAATAGTAGTACATACACGTGCTCAGACTGTTACTCATACGAAGTGGTTTTTCTTCTCTCTCTCCCGTTCTCACGCTGCCTCATTCGTTTCTCATTCTCTCTTTCGTTCATTCGCGTTCCTTCCGCTTACGTCTACAGTGATCCAAAATGGTGAAAAGTCGTGTGTAGCTTTGCCGCAGCAATTCACACACCGAATATTCAGCCCATTGAAAATGAAGAAGAAGAAAAATTATTCATAGAACAAGAAAAGAAGCTTTTTTTTTCCTCGCATCAAAACATCCAATTAATTCCGAGTTTCATGCATCTAATTTCCATGCATCAGCTTTTTTCAACATCATCATGGTCGTCGTCATTTTTCGGTTCATTTCCAATTCATTTTTCCATCTTTCTGTTTTCCCATTCGAAAAATGTTCGAACATAAGCACAAATGAGGACGCGCACAGCCGCAAGTCATAACGTCGATAAATACGGTTGACGGAGAGAGAGCAAGAGTGTGAAAGAGCAATAGTAGCAACAGCAGCAGCAGCAACGCATTTTCTATACATTCACGTATAAAAAGTTCATTTTGCGCTGTTTTGCAGCTATTTTCGTTTAGCGTTTTTTCTTTCGCAAACATCACTTGGATTGGTTGACTTTTCCATGCGAACACGAAGCGCGCGCGACATACGAACTCACTCACTTACTCAATACTTCATATTTCACAGTGTGTACACACAGTGAAAAGAGGAAGAGAAAAAACCAAGTGACTGGCACGGCACACACAGGTTTTTCCACACATAGGGTCAGTCAGTGCAAGCAGAGGCCGTCGTTTGTTTGCAAAATAACCTAAGCGATACATGCGAGAGTGTGTCGCATTGCGTTTTCACATCATTAGAATCATCGGGAAAAGATAATTTCAGCTGTGAAATTTATTTAATTTTTTCCACGAAAACGTAGAGGAAAAAAAATTCTATCAAATGTACCTACGATTCAAGTAGAAAGTTGGACAGTTTTTTTTTTTGGTTTTTTCCCCCTTTTTATTTTCCACACACACAGCGCAAAGCGTTTTCTTCAATTCATCCACCACATTTCACGTCGAAAGTTCACAATTATTTTGATAATATACGTAAAGCAGGAAAATAAAAACGAGCAAAGAAAAGAAAAATCATATCAAGTGGTTGGGCATCAAGTGTGCGAAAAAAACAAAACAAGAGAACCAAATGAATCAATGTGAAACATAAATGAAGTATTCGATTTTTGATTTCAATTAAAATTCTGTGTGTTAATTGCTTGTTGTTGTTTGTATATAGAAATATAGTCGAATTGGCTGCCGATGTGTGATGATGAATGATTTCGATTCGGTTTGGATACCATGCGTGTGAATTGGGCCAATAAAAAATAAAACCAGTTCTATTACTATTGAGTGCTTGAATTTTTACCCCCAAAGGAATTGCTCACATTTCATTTTCTCTCTCATGTTTTCCTTTTGTAAAATAAAAAAAAAAAAATTCAACGTCAAGTCGACATTTGTTTCAGGCCAAATTTCCATGTCCTTATTCATTGTTTCAATTTGTGTTTGTCTAACGCTTTTTTAGTTTCATAATCATAAATATGAATTTTGATGAATGTGAAATATGATTCTCGGTGCAAAATCAATGGCTAGCGAGCTTAAGAGAGTGACAGCTTTAAGTGATTATAAATGGGCACATTTGGATATAAAGAAAAGTGATGATTTTGATAGTTGATTGCGTGCTACTGCTACAATTTTTTTGTGTTGCTCTCATGTGCCGTATTTGTTATTCATTGTATTGATTTTGTGGCCCAGTTGTGTTCTTTTTATGAAAAACAAAGAAAAGCACATCGATCGCGTCATCATGTCAACATGCCTGAAATAAATTTCTTCTTCTTCCATCTTTTGTTTGTTCATCGTTTAGGCCGAAATTGTAACACACAATAACAAAATGGAACTCCCGAAGAGTTCGATCAAAAACTGAAATTGCAACGAGCAAATTGAAGTGGAACGGAATCAAATTAAGAAAACGCAATCACACACACACACACACACAAAATACACGCACGAGCGGTAGCACACTGTTAACAGCGTAAACCGTGTGCTGAAACTGAACGGTGCTGAAAATAAGAAGAAGTCAAAGAAAAACAAAACAAAATCATTTCGCCGAGGACGATACACGGTGTGTCTATACGGCCATACCGAAATCGCATAAAATGCCCACAACATATGGACTGCTGATTGGTTTGTGTAAGTTATTGTAAACACATTTTTTTGTCGCCAAATATTCTTGTCCTTTTATGCCATACATATGTGTCCAGTGAACAAAAAAAAAAGAAAGAAACGATTTTATTTTATGCGATGAGACGTTGATTTGTCAGGTCAGTGGATGGTAAGACACTTAACTGTATGTATATAGTACCACATTCAGGATAGCGCTGAATAGCACAGATTTTTACCATGATTAGCCATATCTATTTTATGACCAACAATTTCCGGTTCAATGCATGCCAACACCGTTCACATCTGGACATTTCTTCTTCTTTTTTTTATTGATCACAATTGTACTGTATATTTACTTTAGTGTTTTCATTTCGACGATTCTCTTTTTAATTTTGTCTATGTACTTTATCCATGTCGTACACGAAAATCGTACTGGCGCTTTTGACACCAATCTAAAATTACCAACCAATTTTTCATGCAAACAAATTATGTCAAAACAAAAAAAAAAAAAATAGTATCACTGACGTATTTCACACATTGTTGCTTTTCGTATCGATGTCGTCCATGTAAGTCCGAAGTGTATATCTGATTGTTTTTGTGAATTGTGCTTGAAATTGTGTTTTTTCTTCGTTCGTTACCGCTTTTCGTGTGCGATTTAATTCGTGTGTATTTTCGTTTTATGAATGTGATGTTGAGTTTTTTTTTCGGTTTGCATCTACGTTTTAAATCACTATCCAGGGAATGCATGTGCTCTGACCGTTTTTCAAAGCACACACTCACACAAACTCACACACAAATCAAAAATCCACTGAATGTGTAGTGGAAACACCACAGTCCTTATCAACAACAAAAAAAAAACAAATATTTTCATCTAGGAATAACCGATGTATGTTCTCTATTTGTAATTTAAAACCCGCGCGCGGTAACAACGCATTCATGTGGGAGTGAACTGACCCAACGACCCAACTGACTAACTAATCTGACTAATGGAAAAAAAATCGCTTTTTATTGCTTTTTCTCTACCATTGCAGTTCTGTTTGGCATTTATGTTTGTTGGATTCCGCAAATCAATGCTGAATGTCAAAGTAAGATAATCGATGTGACAAAAAACTTTGTCTTTCTCTTTGTTCTTGTTGTTTTATTGACCATTTCGTTATCCGTTTCAATTTTGGTTTCTGTTTCTGAATTTTGGGTTTTTCGTTTACACTTTGTCTTTTGAGTTTTGTTCATCAGGTTCTTTGCTTCACACAACTGAGTTTGCCTAAACTGAAAGAAAGAGGATGTCATCTCAAGCCAGATGGCATTGTAAATAATGCTATATATAAATTTTGCCGAAAAAAAAACAAATCGCAAATAAAATTGGTTTGCCAAAGAAATGAGGTGTTTTGGTATCTGCTGTAGGGTGTCAACTGGCAAAATTCGATAGATCGTTCGTTTATTCGGAAGCAATGTTCTGAGAATACATCTTTCGATGCGAACGATCGTGTTTGTTGACATCTTTACGTTTTACCTGCTATCGACGCTAAACAATCTTCTTCTCGCTCACACACACACATACACAATCTTTTGTTTTATTAACTAAAAGAAGAACTTGTGATTTTTTGCAGTTAATTTCCAACCTTTATATTGTTTGTGATTCACATCTTTCTTTTCGGTTGGATTTGTTAAAACGAGAAATTATGAACATCATTTTTTTTTATTTCGAACAACGTTCAGCCCGATCAATTTACTGCTACGAATGTGACAGTTGGACCGATGCACGATGCAAGGATCCATTCAATTATACAGCGCTTCCGAGAGATCAGCCGCCACTGATGACCTGCAACGGGTGCTGCGTCAAAATGGTTAGGCATTCCAAATCACGTACGTAATCCAATTTGGTGTTTTTTTTGTTTGTTTCTGCATTTCAGCTCTGAAGTCCACTGGTATTGCAATTTCACGCTAATAAATATTGGTCCCTTTTGAGGGACTTCAACGCTCACTCTTGCACATACCATATATTTAACCTCTAATTTATTTGTCTATTTTTACAGCATATGAAGTGGTACGACGAATGTGTACGTCACAATTGCAAATAAATTTATTCATGGTTGACCATGTGTGCATGATGGAAAGTTCAGGCAAGGGCCATATGTGTTTCTGTGAAGAGGATATGTGCAATCAAAGTTCGCCACTTTTTAATTCTTTTCAATTGTATCGGCACGAAATTCTAATGCTGATTCTTATCTTTGTGATTGGATTGATTACCAATCCGTTTTAAAAAAAAATTACCACAATATAGTTGGAAATTATGCCACGAGAACCGATTTTTTGTTATTCCAGACGAAAATTCTCTGTCCGAATTTGATTATAGTGATTCGATTCATTTGCGATATTCAATCGTTTTCATTTCGAAAACAAATCCAATTAGTAAATTTAAAACAATGACATCGGAAATGTGAATGTTCACATTTCTTGCATCGAATTACTTATTTATCAATTGGTTTTGCATTTGAATCGGTCAGATGGATTTGTTTCAATTTTCGAAAATGATCATAGCAATCGATCAAATTGATATTTCAAAACTGCTGTTTCCTATTACTTTCGAACCAAGTTTTCGTTGCCTCAACCGAATCGATCGTAATATCTTGCTCAATCACACCAGCAGCTTATTATTTGTTGTTTCGTTGTATTTTCTCTTTTGTTTTGTTATTCAACTAGTTCTATCGCGTAAAATTAATCTCTTCTTCGATTCGGCGATTCCACAGTGGCTTTAAACTACGCTTTATTTTCCGTTACACTTTTAATTTCCGTTTTCTTTTTAGTTAGTGGCTATAAATCCATTGAACCGAGTGTTCTAATCCTTCTTACGTTTTAACATCCGTTCAGTGGATTTTCTCGAACTTTCCTACAACCCAGTGTACACTTTTACACCTGAATAAACTTTTTCAATATATACACAAACACATTTAACACACACAATTTTTGATCATTAAAATCGACTGTGGATGGGAGTAAAACTTGGATCTTTGAGAAGCTATCGAAGATGAAAAAGCTTTTGCAAAAAGTTCAGAGTTAATTTTAATGATCAAAATCGGAGCCGATTCTCTTTGAAAACACAACCGTTCGTAATTATCACGCCTAAGCGCTTCACATTCTAATTGTTACCAGATCTATTACACGCGATTTCACCCGTTTTCTGGCACCAGATTATTATGATCCAGTCTAACCTTTATCCTTATGTAATCTTTATATGCCAAGTCCGAAGAAATGTGTCGTCGCGATCGAAATATCGCGCACGGTGCACAATTTCTTCATTATTCGAATTGAATAACTTTTTCAATCGCAAAACGAACGAAATGCACACACTTCTACACGCTTTTATCCCCTTGTGCTTAGCCTCCACTGAGCTATTGGAAAATTCATTCACTCGATTCACTCATTTATGTTGGTCCATGTTTCGATCAACTTTCAACGATATTCAATTGACGATTGAGAAATAAATACCAATAATCTAAATTTGGTTTTGGATCTAAAATCAAATCATTTAATATTTATACGAATCATCTAAGGATAAATGTTTCACGTAAGCAAACAACACACAACAACTCGATATTCACCAAATGAACGTAATTTCATCATCAAATAATAATAACCGTAGTATTTTCGATTCAATTTGCGAATCTGGCTTTATCTTTCGTTTCCTCCGTAAGTTCGACTGAATTTTCTTTGATGCGGTGGATGTACACATCTTTCTTTTACTCCCGATTCCAATCAAAATGATGATAATTGAATCATACATAACAAAAGCTTAGTGAAATCTAAAAATAGCGTGAATAACGGCGATGACAAAGAAAACACATGAAACGCACACACAAACTCACACACATACACAAAATCAAAACAAAAAACTCAATACGAAAACCGATTAAACGTATTTTCCTCACAAGTAAAGAGCATTTACCAAGAAAAATGTAAGAAAAGTTTGCCAAGTGCGATTAACGCTAAACGAAACAAACAATTATTTGAGCTAACCAGCCAAAATGCGCATAGTAAAGCAATGTGTGAACCAATGCGAACCAATGCAAACCGAAACGAAATTCGATGCCGCAAAAAGTTCACACATTTTCTGCCCAAAACACTACACACACACAACATCAATACCCAGAAGCGATTCTATGCGCTGTTAAGCGACAAAATCAAAGCTAAAAGAACCACGACAAAACGATGATTTTACCAATAAAAAAAGCAATGCTTTTTCACATATGATGCCAAGGCTCTGATATTTTTACATGTACACAGTGGCTTTTGATCGAAACCCAATTTTTAAATTTAATTTGTTGTATTTTACGAATATATATCATTTATGATCCTGTAAATAAGATCCACTCTGTCCATATGGTTCTATGGCTAGAAACATATTTGTGTCCCATATCCTTTCGATCACGCGTGCAAAAAAAACAACAACATAGATAAGTGTGGTGTAAAAAAGGGGGGCTTCGTCCAATTTAAACAGCAAGACAATTTTTTTTCAAATAAAACGATTCTTATGTACTTCCAATAATATAAAAAGCACAACGTGTCAATACGCATTACGAAAACTTCTTGCAGAATATTTGGTCAATTTTTAATATTAAGATGCAGCGTTTATCAAAATGGTTCTTCTCATTGATGATTTTAATATGTTTTCCCTTCAGCCGTTCAGTCTTGGTCGTTAAAGGTTAAACGGTTCATTTCGTTTTCAATTCTTTTGAACAAAAGTAAACTTGCTCAATCACATTTTTGATTTCACATTTAGCTAATTAATGTATTTTTTGCTCAATGGGTGGCTTCAATCGTTTTAAGGCCACAAATTAAAACCATTTTTAATGGAATAATTACAAAAATACAGAAATTTCAAACACACACATTTTGAACATAAGCTGCGCAGCGCGTTGTATTTTTTGAACAAACGATAAATTAATTCAAAATTTTGGAACATTCAACACCATGTCTCCATTGACCATTTGGAGGCCCTATAGATGACCACTCTTTTCTACTCTCGTCGTAAATTGTTTTTTTTTAAATAAAAATCTATCTATTCATCTTTTTCCTCTCTCTTTTCCTCTCCTCATCAAAAAGAAAAAAAAATACCAATCCCCTTGATTCAATTAACCCATTCCCCTAATCAATACATGGTATGTGATGTAAAATACACCAATTTAAATTTCTATTTGCAACGCTCTATCATTTTTACAAATGATCATCATATCATTTGACACACACACACACACACACAGCAAGCATATATATCGGGATAATATGATTGTCCATCGTTGTAAGTTTTATTATTTAAAAAAAAGGGGAAATTGGTCATTCTAATTAGATTCAAGATTTCTAATCATATATCAAATTGAAAAAAAAAAATTGTAATTGTAATTGAAAAATATAATTAAGATTGAGGGAAAAAGGAGAATATTATGACAACAATGAGATTGTTCTGTTTTTCATTTTGAGTAGGCCAATGATTAAAAAGTAATAATGTAATAATTTTTTTTATTTGTAAATCGACGAAAAATTCAATCAGAAAAATGTAGGCAAAAACTTAAAAATTGTTCAACGTGCAATGAAAAAAAATTATAACAAGAAAACTGAATCTTTAGATTTTATTACAGAGCTAATTAAGTATAAGTTGGGATTTTAAATGGGAAGCTATTACAAAGAAATTATTCTATTAATTATTGTATAATCATTGAATCAAATCAAAAGAAATGTTTATTAGTCGGAGAAAATGGAAAATTTCCTCTTGATTTTAAATCAATTCATCATATCCAAAAAAAAAACGAAGAAAAACTAAAAGCAAGAATTTTGACAATTCATTTCATAAATTTTTTTTAGTTTAAGCTTAACAAAAAATATCATTTGTTTAGTAGGGAAATTTAAAAGACTCCTTAACATAAATTCTATGTTCAGTGTTTCTACTGAAATCCTAATTGTTTTTTGCCCTCTGACATTCTCAAATTGTATCAATGAGAAATAAAGCGAAACTTTTTCCAAATAAGCAACAGATTGAGAGAGAGACACACACAAAAAATAACATTATTAAAGATATTTTTATTCGAAAATTTTCATTGTTCCTGTTTTTTCGATTATTTTCATGGCATTCTCCATCTATTCTTCTTTCTCTTTGGTTTGTACTAAAATTCACCACTGAATTTCCCGTTGTTGATGGTGCAGCACGAAGCACTTTCGAGGTAAATGGCCTATATTTTAGTACAAAGCAAAGAGGAAATACGAAGCGATGTGGGGTGCGTTTTTCCAGTATTCGTATTTGAATAAATTTCGTTTCCAACCAACAAAGATATTTTTCCTCGGAAGAATTTTTCCTCCTCGAAAAATTTAAGTCTAAATAAAAAAAACACCAAAAAATCATTTCATTCATGTTTTAATTACAAATAGTTTTAATTCTAGTTTCATTGAGTAATAACAAAAAAAATGCGCGCCAAAATTATTGGAATGGTATAGAGTGCGCCACAAACAATTGAACAGTCCAACAGAATGGGTAAAGCCTTTGGCTTCGAGGTAAAGTAAAAGAAAGCGTGAGCGGTGAACGTTGTGTTTATCCGTCTAGGCTTATCATGGATTCGTTGGCCAAACTTGATCGGTCGAAGCCCATTGAGAATGAGCTTGTATCTAGGTCTAAATCGTCTTCATCTTCCATCATTTTTTTCATTCGTATTTTGTACCTGAAAGACACGAAAAATGTTCCATTAGTAAAGAGAACGACTGAACATCTTGGTAAAACTGGTTTGAATAAAAGAAAAACGGGTTTATTTCAACGAAGAATGAATTTTACTTACGCTTCGCTATCGGGATTGTTTTCTTGATTCCGGCATTTTTCCAGTTTCCGTTCGATGCGCTTGAATTCCTCTTTTTCGGGTATGGCAAAGTTCTTGACCATCAATCGTATTTTGCGTACCGCTTCGATCAATACCGGCAATTTTTCACGACTGTTATAAAACAACGATTCAGTGACGTAGCTATCGAGATTTTCCGCTTGTTTGCTGGCTGCGTGCAGCACAGCGGCCAACGCAATTTGTGATGGTGCAAAGAGAAGGCAGGCCTCGGTAAAGAATGTTTTCTCGAGGAATTCATCGATACCAGTTCGCAATCGGTCCGGATTCAACAATGTGCATCTTGTTTTGATGTCAATCAAAAACCCTTCGACCGGCCGATACGGATTGTGTACGGTGAGGTAGTAGTTCAGTCGTTGCATCAGCAATAATTCATTGGACAAAATGATGTCCATCGCTTTGATCCGATCACCTTTGATATTGCCTACAAACTGTCCAATTGACACATTGAACTCTTCGGTTTTGCAGGCCAAATAAACGCATGTGGCTCTGGAATTGAAACGAAAACAGACACATTAATCAACAGACAAAACAGCCAAACTTATCAATTATTTTTGGGAGGTAAAAATGACGGCATCACAAAAAAATCATCACAAAAATCACAGAAATCACAAACCAAAAATCATCACAAAAATCGAAAAAACCACTCCAAGAAACTTCCCATTTGGCTATAGGTAATTGTGATTTATTGTGATATTTTTGTGATTTTTGAATGACAAGTAGCAGCTCAATAAGAAGTTCTGATCTGGGGGAAATTTTGATCAAACGGGACGAACAGGTTTTCACGAGACAAACACCACTTACAAAATTTCCTTTGGATGATAGTCCATCGCCGAATTGTACAGATAAAATCGCTTGAAGTAATGAAATGCGGTGCCAACCACACATTTTGGCATCGGTGGCTCGAAACGGCGGCAAAATTCCTTCAAATTATATTCATAGCTTCGCAACAGTTTTTGCTCTTCTTCGTGTGATAAAAAGAATTCTTCGCGTTGCGCTTCCTTGAAAACAATCAAAATGAGAACACAAATAAAACATCTAAGAATGACAACGGGTGGAAAGATCCAAGAATGATAACGGGTGAAAAGTTTATTTGACTTACATTCAATCCTAAACGATCGCCGTGGATTTGTTGATACTCATCGTTGTGTGTTTTGCGATGAGCCTTCGTTTCTTTTTCATTCCGAAACGTCCAATATCGCCGCTGTGAACTTGATGGAAACATTCTTTCGATTCTTGCCGATAGACCTTTTTCTCCGGATGACAATCAATATTCTTGACAATTTAATTGAATTTTCTATTTAATTTTTATATTTCGTGTGACAACAATAATTTTTCTTCATTGAATTCAATACACGGAGAGATTTGCTGAGACACACAACATTCGGTTTAATGCAAATCTCACGACGGACTGATCAACATAAATAGAAAACAATACTTTGACAGTTCGACCGTGTGCATGGCACTCGCACACTGAAGTGAGTACACTATAAGCAGGGAGTACACATTTTGGCTACAAGTTTCAAAGTGGAGTTGCTGATATTGGTTAGCGCATATACATGGGATACATCAATCAAAATCAAAATAATAAATTGTTGGAAATCGAATGATTTGTATTTTTTTCCTTGGTAATTTTCATAAAATCATATTGGTTTTGCATATCAAATTATTTTGTCCAATCATTTTTTTTCACGTTGAAATATCCCATCGTCAGACACTTCATTGGTATGAATGTGCATTATTTTCATGACGGTAAAATCCGATGAAATAAAATTGTTGACGATAATAAAATTGAAGTTGAGCCATAAACCGACGTGCAAATGCTCAATATATAAAAAATCAAGCAAATCTAAAAATAATGTTGGCTTATTATTTCGTTTCTCGGTGATGTCACCTCCCGAAGTGGATTGCTTTGAATTTTTGAATTTAACACTTAACAACCCCCCCCTCTCGTTCAGCACATTGCTAAAAACGCCTATTATTCGAACATGAATTTCGAATTGGTTGTTTGACACATTCCACTTGCCATAAAATTTTAGTACACAATGATGTTCGAATATTCGAGCGACTGCATCTGCGAATATATCGTTAACATAAAACGCAGTCATTGTTCAAATGGATCTAAAAATGTTTGTCATAATTTTGTTGCTTTTATTTTCCAGCTAAAATTAAAGACCATTCCATGAAATGATGTGATTGTAATTTTTAACTGTATGACGTGGAAAATATTTATTTGTTGTGGCAAGCAATGGGTTATTTTGTGTAAATCATTTTGTGCGCCAACACATACGTATGCATGAAACGTGTTCATTTTGGTATTAAAGTTATCCAAAACCAATTCGATATCACATTGATTTAGAACGGTTTGGTTCAACTGTCTACCGAAAACTGCATTCAATTAAATCTCTAAATAACAAACAGCTGAAATGGGCGCGTTACTTTCGCCATTCGGCCCGAACAAATAATTACAATATTTAAAGACAATCGAAGCAAAAATTCCATTTTATTCTCAATTGTGTGGATTGTTCAGTGTATGTGGGAAAAAAGTGTTCGCAATCCATGGTGTGTCGTAAAATGTTTAAATAAAAAAAGTTTCGTTCAATGTGTCGTTTTGTTTGCGGTTCGGTTCGGTGTGCGGTTTCAATATTGTGCGCTCTGTCAGTGTGAGTTGTGTGTATGTGTGTTGAGAGCGCGCGGCTGGTGCCCGTTTTTCTTTCGTACTTTTTTAGTACATGGTTGTATGTAGCTGCCGTGTACATGTGTATGTTGCTTTGGTTGACATTTCGAAAAAAAATGCAAACCGAAAACGAAGAACCGAATGACACAAAGCAATATGGCGGAGCATCGTACTATTTTTTTCTGAGTGTATGTGAATTAGTTGGCCATTAGCCGCCATTATGGCTTTTTGTAAACCACGCGATTTAACAAAAGTTTGTCAAACATTTTTTAATAATTGTGACTGAGTGAATGAAAAAATCAGAATGGATAACAATTAGGGAGATTTTAAATAATTTTGTGATGGTCCAAAACGACCGTTCTGCGGACCACCAAATAAAAATAATTTTTTTTTTTGAAAATCAGTCTTGTGTTTATAAAAAAAAGAGATGAGAAGAAAGAACGAAAAGTGAGAAGAAAAAAAAATCATCCAGCTACTACGACTTCGCAATTGATTTTCGCGTATATCCCTGTACGATACACATCACTGTTATACACAGGCAAGCAGCAGCAGCAGCAGCAGTAACAACAACAACAACAACAACAACAACAGCAACAACAACAACAACAACAACAACTGTAGGAACATAATAAGAACGAAACCAAACCTAAAATACACACAAAAATGTCGAAATTATCGTTTCGGGCGAGGGCCCTAGATCCATCAAAACCATTAAATATTCATATTGCGGAGGAATTGCCGGATTTGACGGAATATTCGGCAATTAACCGTGCTGTTCCACAAATGCCCAGTGGCATGGAAAAGGAAGAAGAATCCGTAAGGCCATAATTTTTGTGAAAAATCGCAAAAAACTTTCCACTTCTTTGTGTGAAAAAACATATATTTTTGCGGTAGCCATCTTTGTTTGTCAGTGTTCTGTGTGCGTTTTAGTGTTTGGGAGAGAGAAATGAGGCGACGCCATCTTGTTTGAATATAAGAGAAGAATATTAAATGTTAATCTGCAACATTTAATGCAATTTTCATTTGTGTACACAATTAATTTTCGGTTTTTTTCTAGTTTTGTGTACCATTTTTCGTAAATCGTTCGGTCGTGTAATGTGATTTCAGAATTTTTTTTCCATTTGTTAACCGTGTGTTTACCAGCTCTAAAAACCGATGCTTCGATATCATAGCATATTCATATAAAAACAAAAACAGTACACATCGCTTGTGTCAACACATTGACACATTTGGTGTTTGTATTGGTTTTCCCTAAAACTTTCTGCGTTCAAACGCAAATGGCGCGAATTTTGATTTTCAACCAAACATGCAATGAAACCTAAAACGCAACACTTTTTTTACACAATTACACTATTTCTGTCAATTATTTAATAATTTTTCAATTTACAATTTGTGACAAGTGCATTTTATTGAATTTAAATCAATATTTACGCGAAAATTTAACCGGTATTAATCGAATTTGTTTTTCTTTTGTTGTGTTTTTTTCTTCTGTTTATTTGTTTGTGTGTGTGCGTGTTTGTTTTTGTTTCGCGACTTTTGGCACTTCTCGGGGAGTAGGAACATCATTTACAGCGAGCAATATGTACCGGTTTAATAATTCCAACACCAGAAGTATTCGACATCGATCAGGAATTCTACGATCGACTTTATCCGGAAGATTTCAAAGTTTCCCGTCAACTGATCCGTATGCAACGTGAGTGTTTATGTCATCATCATGTTTATTGACATTGAGTGCGTTGTTCACCATTGAACAACAACAGTGGAAATGACGTTTCATTTTGTTGTTGTCAATTTTAATTGCGATGTTATTCTTCTTCATGTTAACGTTGTTTGTTCTTTTTTTGTAGCACTTGGTATCGAACAAGATATACCTGATTATGACATGGATAGTGCTGATGAGGCGTGGATAAGTTCGCAGAATCGCCGTTTTGATTTGTCACCGCTAAAATTTGAAGAGATGATGGATCGATTGGAGAAGAGTTCCGGCCAAACGGTTGTCACACTGAACGAAGCGAAAGCATTACTCAAACAAGATGACGAAATTAGCATAGCCGTGTACGATTATTGGCTGAACAAACGTCTTACCACGCAGCATCCACTGATATTAACCATTAAGACGGAGAATCGAGCCGGTTCGGCGGTAAACAATCCATACATAGCATTTAGAAGGCGAACCGAAAAGATGCAAACGCGTAAAAATCGAAAGAACGACGAAACCTCATATGAGAAAATGCTTAAATTGAAGTGAGTTGAATTTGGCTTTTGCGGTGGAAAATTATCGGAACCGATTTGAAATGGCCAATGTTGCTAACGCTTTTATTTATCTCTGTCTGTCCTTTTAGAAGAAACCTTAGTCGGGCTGTGACGTTACTTGAGATGATCAAGCGGCGTGAGAAAACGAAGCGCGAACACGTTCATCTGGGTATCGAAATATTCGAAAAACGATATCAAGCTAAGGATTTCAATGGATACCTGCTGAACGAGTACACAAACAATGCAGTGAAAAACTCGAGGTTCGCATCATTTTTTTACTAAAAATGCATACGCAGCACACACACACACACACACACTGCACAACCGCACACATCAATCAATTTCGAAAAGAATTACTCTATCCGAAACTAATTTATGCGTTTCAATTATCAAATCAATACAGATCGGCGTTCGCACCATTGTATGGGAATCAATATTCAGGGCAACAATCAAATCAATACTGGTCGAATTCGGGATCGCATTATGGATCAAGTGGGAATGCAACAGGTATGTCATCGCTGCTCAATAAGCACAGTAGCAATGACGTTGACGGAACACTTCACAATAATAATCGAAAAGAAAAACGGCAATACAAAAAGCGGAAGCACAAAAACCAACGCGAAAAACAAGTGTCCGGTAAGTGGTTTGCATCAAGCACATTCGTTGGATTTATGGGATTTGCGAATGGAATTGGGTTGTGATTTGAATGTTTTTTTTCGATTTTCCGTTTATCATAGGTTCTACCATCGATCACTTGGCATCATCTGATGAGGACGAGCCAATCATTAACCTTAATAACCACTTAGGACACGACACCGAAAACGAGGGACTTTATCCATTTAGGCGAAGTAGCTCATGTCAATACAATCGGGTAAGTCGATGCAAGCTCCATCGAAATTCCAATTGGCATACCAATCTAACTGCTGATTATTTTCGCAGCCTCTAATTAATGATCACGGTCATTGGCCATGGGAGACAAAAAGTGAACATAGTGCTAAGTACCGGTTTACCTTAACATCAATCAGGCACCCAAAGTATGTGTGACTTTAAAAACAATCACGGATGGAATCAGTGTACTCAATTTTATTGTTTTTCTTTTGTTTCCCGCGTTCATTTCCACATAGGGTAAGATGTATAGGATTTTCTCGTCGACGACGTGGTCGAGGAGGTCGAATCGTATTGGACCGGATCTCGACGAATATGGATGAATTTTGGGCAAATCTTGACTACACCATTTATTCCGGCAACACAAAGCTGACCGCTAAGGAGATATGCCGGCAACACGAGCTCAAAAAATTGCAACAGCAAGAGAGCCTCGTCAATGATAAATCGCAAAGTATTGTCATCGATTTAGAGCCACCAGCAAATACCCCGAAATCATCCGGATCATCTTCATCATTATTTCCGGCAGCAGCCAGTGCTAGCAGTGATGATAAAATGGAAAATATTGTGATAAAAACAGAAGAAAAGACAGCAGCGACAGTGATGAACGAGTGTCTAGATTCAGTGAATCGAACTAAAGCCAATAATAGCGCGGCAAATCAAGCGGCAACGGCGACGGCGGCGTCAATCATTGGCAAACATTTCGATGTTAAGCGAAATACAGATGTAAATACGGCAACGACGACAACGTTGGACGCAATTACAAATAGAAATAATGGAACTGTCAATATTATAAATACGGACAACAATAATAATAGTGGAAATAATAGCAACAACAGTAGCAAAAATAATAGTAATAGCACTAGTAATACAAATAATCGCTTAAGCAACATAAATAATATGTTTAGACTGCCCTCGAATGCAAATGCAGCAGATGTACGAAGGCATTTCAATTTAGCACACTCATCGCCATTTGGATCATCACCCTCATCATCCACGTCGGACAATGTTGTTATTGTTGACGCATCGGAAAACACGTCCACAAACTTACAGCAAAGTAATAATAGTTTAAGTAGCAAAGCGTAAGTATCATTGCCCAAATTTAATCACCCGATTTCAATCAGCACCGCAAAACCCGTTTTGAACTTTTGTCTCAATGATTTTTTTTCGTTTCTTTTGCCCATCATTTTTTCTGCAGTTTTACAAATCACATATCGGAGAGTGCGAACGATCTGTCGACGACATTACAAACGGACGACGAAAAAGCGGTTACGAATCAGTTGTATTCCGAGTTGTTTGGCGATTGGCTACACTTTCGGCCAAAGACACCGGACGATGAGCTCGACGTGTATGGCAATTTCGGTGAAGAATTCCCACAATTCACTGAAAATGCATCACTATCGGTGGATATTCAACGAATCACCGACTCTGACGGCTTAACGGATCAAAATACCACCGGCAGTGCTGCTGCAGCTCTATCGGTGCCGAGCGACGCAACAACTGGAAAGTACTCACCAAAATTGATCTTCGATCAAACCACAGATAACACATTCAAAACAAATCCATTCTCGTACGAATACCTGCAAGCAAACACACCGAAAATCGAAACCTATCCATTCGATTCAACGTCATCGCCTCGCTACGATGACGAATCATCGGCCGACGAACTGAATCTCAGTGGAGACAGTTTGCCTGGGTTAACGCTCAGTTTGGGTGACAATGAAGCAAATGACAAGGCGATCGATACGCTGCTGGAAGAATGCAATGGTAAGCGATTCATTTTAGGCAATTTTTTCAATAGAAGGAGATTAATGGAGTCATTGACTCAAAGTTTAAAGAGGAAATTAAAACTGGAAGAAAATAAAGATACTTTTACCCGTAACGATATCAAGGCAGTAACACCATTGATTTAGAGACAAAAAATAGAAAAATATCTTTGTAGGCCTTAAGCATCCATTTCAAGTGTTTAATCCTAAAACTCGCGTTATCTTTGCAGTTTTCGACTCTGTTGAAGATCTGAAATCAATCAATCCGAATGCATTCTGGAATGGTTTGCTGGATGAAAATGGATCACTACTGGATGTTATCGATAGTAAGAAGCAGTCGGCCGATGGTGCGGCAACTGCAGCGGCCTCAACAACGAACTCTACCGATCGAAAGCCCATACGACGAAGATCATATCCAAATCAACGAATTGGACACTCGGCATTCAACGTGGTAAATTTGCATGATGACGAAAGCGTATTTGTCAAGGGCGATCCAAAGGATGGCACCAACGCAAAACCGGCTGGCCAAGCATCCAACAGCGGCGCCAATGCGGACAATTCAAACGTTGGTGGCGACGCGTCAACGTCGGTGAAAAAGGAATTGGATGGAATCGAACTGGTTGATACAAGCGCAGTGCCAAACAATACAATGGAAATTCAAATTAAAGATGAACCAATCGATGAAATAAACACATTGAATGTAGACGAACATAGTTTACACGTTCGACCAATTGTTCCTGTGATTAAGACTGAACTCGGAAACAATGTGCCGATTGTTTCAAATGCTACAATCCAACGGCCTATAACCATACAACAAACGACTCACCTACAGCATCAAGCGCCGCATCAACAAACCTTTGCCACAAATGATCAAACGCTGATACTGTCATCGAGACCGATTCGTCGACTGACAACGAACGGACCTGCCGATGGAAAAGCCGGTAAGTCTCTCTCTCTCTCTCTCTCTCTCTCTCTATCTCTCTCTCTCTATCTCTATCTCTTTACATATCCATTCGATCAGTTTTGATCGAGAATATCGCACGAATTGTCGATATCCGAATACAATATTTTCCGTTTTCCTAGGTATCCAACATTTGCTGATCAATCGAAAATTCCAAATGATAACGCCACGCTCAATGGGCTTGGACGATAAGGAGGATGTCAAACCGAAAATTATCGAAGGTGCTTATCTCAAGTTACCGCCCGATTTTAATGTTGTGTCATCAAATGCAATGTCATCGTTGAATGCATCGAATGCGACATCGAAGCACAACTACAGTTTGCCACCACAAGCAGCCTTCCATCAGCCCATCACCCTGATCGGACAACCGCAACAGAGCCAAAATAAAGTGATCATCAATCCGTCGCATTTGTCTACCAATCTAGCGCTGGCCACACAATCAATGTCCGATAAAATTACCATCCCAACGTCGAATATCAAACTGAATTTGGTGCCATCATTGGCGCAAGTGATGCAATCCGGCGGTGGCTTGGTGATTGATGCAAAGAGTGGCACTGTTACCGGTGACATGGGTCAAGCATCACAAGGTGGATTGGAGCAAACGATATCCGGTGCCACATCGTCGACGTCATCACCCAACGTATCCCAGATACACTATCAACAACAGCAAAAGGTAAATAAGATTCTTTATTTCAAAAAAGTTATGACTCGCCGAAAATGAAATGAAATCTAATGAAAATGTTTGTATTTTTCCTTTTTAGATGGGACAGCCCATGGATCGAACTCGAATCTTGTACACAAATCTAAAGAACAATCGTGCCAGTGCACAGTTTTTGACCCAAATCAATCCAAAAGTGGTCAACATTGTGAACATTCCACATAAGGGCAATGCAGGTGGCGGTGGTGTTCAGGGTCTGGTCAATAAAACGATCCAACGGGTGGTGGTGTCGTCAAGTCAATCACAAAATCAACAATTGGCCACGGCATTCCGACAATCGCAAATGCAATCCGCCGCAAATGCCAATTCAGCTCAAACAAGCAATGCATTGTTGGGCACAAATGCAGCCGGCAACACAGTAATCATAACAACAAGCTCAGCATCCGATGGATCTTCCATTATTTTCAATGATATGAATACAACATCCACAATTGCAAACAGTATTAACACGAATAATAGCAACCAAACGATAAATTTGGGTAATTTAACTGTAACCGCCGCCAGTGAAAAAATGAATCACAACGATGGCAATGCGACTACCATAAACAGATGAGGAAATTTGGCAACAATTTTCATCCGAATTTTGATTCGGTGCATTAAACACACACACACACACAAACAATAAAAACGAAGAAAGAAAGGAAAAAAACAAAAAATTTATACTTGGTATATATAGACATTTAGGCAGTTTGTACGCAGGATGCGTGAGATGGGAAGAGAGAGCGAGCGAGCAAGAAAGAGAGAGAAAGAGAGCGTGTGTGTGAATAATTATAAATATTGCAATGAGGTTTGTGTCATCTGAAGATCTCACGATGATCGCCAGCACACGATTCAACGCATACACACTAGCTAAAATTGAAAATGAACATGAAAAACTAGTGCTAAACGAAGAAATGATTTCAATATTGAAAGTGAAGACAAAAACAATACGAAGCACTATACAAGAGGCCATAAAATCGTAATTGATCATTAGATGTGTCCACACTGATGATATTTGCGTTATAAACCAAAAGACCGAATCATTTCTGTTTGAAATGATTTTTGCGTTGAGATAAATCACCTCCTCACCCCTCCCATCCATCATCCCTTAGAGCAAATGATTCATGTTGAATATGCATCCAACGTATCTTCGGAATCGACAAAAGGATAAAGTCATCTTCAAGAATATGTATGGGTTGATTCAGTTGCTCATCACGCGATGCTCATACCCCTCGCGCACCGCACATCGATCATCGAATGATGATGTTGCTATATTGTTGCGTGGCCTAAAGCGAATCAAACACACTCATTTTTCGTTTGCTAACTCATCAACAGCATTCTTTGGATCTCACTCAATATTTTCATTTCATTCGTTTGATCGAGTTTCCGTGCATAGGCAATGAATTGGTCATCCAATTTAGAATACTTTTCTGATCGTTAGGTTCGCAGAAGTAAAAAACACGGCATTTTCATTATGAGTCAAAACTATGTCTTCTTGTTAATTTTTTTCTTCGTCCAAAATTGTATTTTCGAAGCAATACACTCGACCAGCTAAATAGAGCAACAATTGAGCAATGAGCGACCGTCGATATTGACGTCGAGAATCTTGAACGATGATGAAAACGCAGGATAACATAGTTTGTGTGTATGTGTGATGTGTGCAAAAAGTACGGAAAGCGAACGATTTAGTACTTTAGCAAAAAGTAAAAACAAAACAAAAAAAAACAAAATATTAAATGGTTGAAGATTTGTATTTAAAAAAAAGAATTTAAACGAAACAAAAAAAAATCACAAAACAAAAACCACAAAATGAAAACCCTAAAAAAAGTCGTGAAAAAAATCAGCTATGCTATTTTTCTGTTCGCTTTAATGTTGCGTGTATTTGAAGCATAAATTTAAATGAACATATATTGATTAAGAACAATCAAAACTGAGAAGGAAAAAAAAACACAAAAACAAAACACTAGAAATTGATGAAAATAATTATGTAAACAAAAAAAAAGAACTCGTAGAAATGAACAAAATTCAAATGAGATGAAAAAAAAAACAAATTCTATGGATAACTTAACAAACATAATAATGTTTGTTGGAAACGATTTTTCTTTATTCTTAAGAAATCATTTGTCTCAATCTTTTCAACTCAAAGAAAATTGCAAATTTTTTGAAACACAAACAAAACGAAAACAGCAGCAACAGAATAGTCAGATTTATTTGTAAATTACAATCAATCGAAAGAAGAAGAAAAAAGAGAAGAAGAGTAAAATGGTAAATACGGTGATCAATCGGTCATGTCGTCACTTATAACCGGAGCAGACAATGGCAATGGTCGCTGGTTAAAGACTACAAGTGCAAATCCCTGTCGATACATTGTTATCTGAGTATATCTACATAAATAGATAAGTGCAGCCATGTTGATACTCCATTGTTGGCTGGCTGAAATTAACTTAAGATTTTTTTTTGGAGAAAACCCGGTTTTTCGTGATGACACCCACCATTGGTTCTATATTTAACAACAACAAACAACAACAAACATCTATATATATAGGTATTTTCTTTTTTGTAATGCTTCATGTAAATATTTTTTTATAAACTCTAGGTTTTTAGAAATTTAGTATTGTAAGATGTCAAACTAAGTTGAAAATATTAAAGGATAATTAAATAATTGTGTATTTTGATTCATCAGCTAGACCATTATTATTCATATGATTATCTGATTATTATTTTATGATTTTTGTTTTTTGGTTTTTTTTGTAACAAACTGCTCACATAATACATCACATGAAAGCGACTACACACATGTCGCGAGTGTTTTTTTAAGAATCGGGCAACCACACACACACACAAAGGGAGAGAGAGAGAGAGAGTGATCCATAGAGAGGCTAAGAAAACAATCCCGTGTGTTGAATTGATGTAGCCTTTTTTTTATAGGAAGACGGAAATTACGTAATCACAAAATGATGATGATTATTATGAAGATCAATTGCGATGGCATACATTTTAATATTCATAATATGAATTTCAATAAAATGTTATCACGGAAGAAATCACTAAGTAATTTCGAATGAAACAAAAAAAATAAAATCGAAGAAAAATAACATTTCACTCAACCGCAGCCATTCCAATGATACTAATTGCGAACAGTGGTTTCGTTTCTTTTCTCATCCACCCTTCAATTGTACACCCCCCAACATCCACATACATTATAAAAATAATGACAACATAAATGACATCCTCGAAGAAATCCAACATTATTGATAACAAGAAACGATTGTACGTTAAATTAACGTTTTATTAGCATAATGAAAATTTAAGAATGAGAATAACACACATACACACAATCACTCACTCATCTGAAGAGACAATGTTGAATTGTGATTAACTACGACACATACAATTCGAATGGATTTTCTTCTTCGAGCCACACATAAATCCTCTTTTCCATTCTATGTGTTTTATTCACACACATTTTTTTTTGGTTCTCTTTAAATTACAAAAAATCTAGTAATTTTATTTTTGTTTCTGATGGCCGGACATCGAATATAGAAAGAAGTGAATTTCAAATTGGACCGATGACACTGATTTTAAATCGGCAGGAAAAGAGCTTTTCACACGAGACGGGAAAAAACCCTCGCAAATGGAGTATTCAGTCATTTTAAGGGTATCGCATTTTCCTACATTAGATTCAGTCTCATCGATTCAATCGTCTATTTTTTAATTAATTCTGTTTAGAACAACAACAAAAAATAAACTGCTCTAAACAAAAACACAAATATAAGCAAGAGGGCAATTTTTATGCAACAAGTTTTATGTTATATGTTCTTCTCTCGAAATCCATAAGTGACGATGAAAATACGCTTATTAAAAGAATAAAAAGAAAGAAAAAGAAAACAGATCACAAAAAAAAACAACAACAACAAACCAGAGCGTTTTATGAACTGAAATCAGCAGCATTGACTGACGTCAGCTGCTGAGCTCAACTGCTCACTCGTATGCGTTGCGTTGTTGCAACGCATCCATAGTACCAAATTCATATTTCCTTCGAGATTACAACAAAAAATAATGCAATTTATCATACTAAAGAGATGAGTACTGGAGGATTTTACTTCCAGAACACACTAGATCAGGTCAGAACCACCTACGCCACAGGATTCAGTTCCAGCCCACTCGATATATTTGCATACAACCCAAGAACAAGAAGAAAACTTCTAAAATATTGATTGAGCTGGAATTGAATCCCGTGGAATAAGTTGTTCCCACCTGATCCAATGTGTTCTGGAAGTAAAATGCTCCAGTACTCATGCCTTTGAGATGCTAAACCGCACTATTTCTACCGAATGCCGCTGGGATCTGCCTCGAATTTAACTTGGCAAATCTGAAAGGAAATATGAATTTTGTACTGTGGATGCATTACAATAACGCAACGCATACGAGTCAGCAGTTGAGCTCAGCAGCTGACGTTAGTTGATGTTGCTAATTTCATCCCATAATACGTTCTGCAACAAACAAACAAAATAAAATGATGAAGTATATAATAAAAAGATTGGAAATGTATTTAGCTCGATAGAGAAGAGAATATTCGGCCCCATACTTGGGAATACATAGTTCATACATACATTTTAATCATAAATTTAATAAAAAAAATATAATTATTAATTTAAGACTAAATTTAAAGCGAAAGAAAAATAAAAAATTCAAAAGCATCAAATTTGGTTCTTTTTTTTAAAACACAGTTCGACTCTTGATACTGAAGTCATTCGCTTTGAGAGAGATAGGCGAGAAGAACACCCGTTCAAGTAATGTTGATAATTTTCAATTCGTTCCTGCGATCGCGTATTTTAATCTCAATCAAGTGTGTTTATTGTCGGGAACAAGGCACGCCAATACCGTTATCTTTTTTCCAAACGCTTTACGTATTCAAAGCAAGGAGATGGAGAACCGTGGCTAAAAATTCATCACAGCATCTACGTGACGTATCAATTTCGAGTACAATCGATTTGTTTGCAAAATGTTTCTCTATTAAATTCCAACAGAGGCAATCACTGGGTCTAGTGAGGGGAAAAAAACTAATAAAGAGAGCACTAAAAACATTAAAGGTGCGTCACTAGCTAGAAAAACAGAAGGAAAAAAAACGTGCCATCAATCTGCCTGCGTTTTAATGCTTTTTTCGAGAACGAAACAGCAACATTACTTACGCTGAATATATCAATGATAATATGCAGACAATTTTCGATGGATCAATTGCGGGAATGCAACAAAAATCGTATGCAAGGATGTGACCGACCCAAAATATAGTAAGAATAAATTGAATTGAGAGAGCGACAAAAAAGCAACAACAACAACTGACGAAAAGGTAATTTTGTTTCGGCATTTTTCGTGTTCGTACGTTTTACTATTCTTGCGTACATTCACACCGAACCAATTTTGCAATGGTGAGAACCATCCGAAAGAAGGACGAACTCTCGGCACGTTCCATCCATGAATGATTTAAACGTACTTTGATATGCACAGCAATGTATAGAAGGCGACGTTGTCGACCAAATAAAAAACAACGGAAGGGAAATAGATTAAGATTCGCTTTTTTTTCTTCTTCTGTTTTTGATGCTGTTGTACTCCATATCAATCAATACTTTTCAACGTTTTTTTGGCTGCTGCTGTTGTTCGAACAGAACAAATGGGACATGAGTGGTAAATCGACCAACTGAGCATCACACAACTGCGATATTGCTATGGAAATAAAAAGACAACCAATTCACTTTCACACCATCTCACGTTCACCAAATCCATTGTAAATCTTCACAAAAATCTAAATCTCCAATCATATCATTTTTACTTCTGGTGCGGCATTCCGAAGGCTCGTGACATATTTCATGGCGTTTCTTGAAAAAGATGAAACAATGACTCAAAAAATATGAAATTCTTATCTTGATTCAGTCATCAGGTTTTTCTTATATTTTTGAATTGAATAATTTTAAAATTAGAAGAAAAAAAACTTCAAGTTGTTATTTTTGGAATGGTTTGATTAGGCTTATATAACCACCAGAAAAGAAATTGATAGGACCATTTAAAAATGGTTCAATTTTTCCAGAAATTATTTTTTTTCGCCAAGAAAGAACATGTAGCCGCTTCTCAAGCAACTTTGCTTCTTCAGTTGAACGAAATTTTTTTTGTGGCCATTCGATTCTTGGTATGATAATCCACGAGAATGAAAATGGCCCATCATTTTTGGGCTTTAGAATGAAAACATTTTGGATAGTGACGAGTTATACATACTCCATGTCGAGGAAGAAACAAAAAGTTCACTCTAGACAAAGATATTTGGTGTGTGTTGAACGACAAAGAATGCATATGTTTCATGCAATCTGTCGATGAAGTTGCGATTACGCGTGAGCGAGCTGGCTTTGGTTTGGGAGAGCGCAGAAAAGAGCATGTTCGCATGTACTTGGAGTTGCATGGAGGTGTCGCACATCCAATCAAAGATATGTGTTTCACCAATGTAAACACTTCTATTTATGTACTTTTTCATCTGCAACATTGTACGTACAGCGTACACCGTACAAAGTGTGATGCTTTTTTTCTGTTGTGCTTGTTTTCACTCTCTCGTCTGTTTTCCTCTCATTTTGCATATGTGTATATTAACCGCGGTGTGTAATGTGCACGGGCGAGTGTGTAAGCGAGAGTGAGATATAGTGATGTGAATGTAATCAAGAACTGAGCGAGGGATATTTTGTGTGTATTCATATACGTTGACCACGCCTGCAATTCGCATATTCAGTCCCCGTACACATGTCGTTCAGTCTCTTTCACTCGCGTGCACACCACCGCACTCGATAGGGAACATTCACGCGTCTGTTCGGCGGTACGGTGAAACCGACAGCTCAGTCGTATCAAACGCGAGTAAACGGTTTGCGTATTGTGTACGTACATTTATATACATATATGTATGCCGGAGGAATACGGTGTGTATGTGGAAAGAAGAACGCCCTGCTTGCCTTTTAACATGCATTCGTACGTACAGTGAATTTGATTTAGTTTAACAACGGCTGCTGCCTCGATACGACGCGCATTTTTCACTTGATTGCTCTCTCCTCCGGCAAACAAATCCTAAATCAAAAAAACAAAAGTAGTAATTTGTGTATCTGTGGTCCTCTGAAATTGGAGACTGATACGACAAACAAATAAACAATATCTCACAAATTGAATTGAACAAAAATTGTTCGGTGTGTTGTTTGTGTGCTCGGTTTCCACTCGATTTTTATACGATCGCTTCATTTTTCAAAGGAGTCGATGGTGTTGTCACGTTTTTGTTTTGTTTGTTTATTTATTTGCTATGATGGGATTTTCGTATGGAAAATCGCTTCGGTAGCCTGATGTGATTCGTACTCAAACCGGCCGAAATGTGCGTCAATATCATTCACATACAAATGAGTGTTGTTCCGTTTTACGCGCTCCACATTCAATTATCCGACCGTTGAAATTTCGTTGAATAACATCAATTTTAAATTTACAACGACGACAATAGAACAAGTTTTTCGGGGGGTATTCAATTGATTAAAATTAAATAAGTGTCTCGATGATTTGATTGGCCAACGACATTTAATTTACAAGCCGGGGCAAATAACCGTCCTTTGACAATCGATAATCGATGTGAAAACAATTTTTTTTAGTTGCTCCAAATGAAAAATTTACACCGTAAAATATCAAAGTGCGAGAAAAAAAACTTTCTATCAACGCAATCACACACATGCACACTGTTTCCAGTTAGCTAAGAGTTTAAATTTTTTCTTTTGATCCGGTGATGTTTGAATCGAATAAAAAAGTGGACAAATCATTTCGAAAACCTGTCGCAAAAATAAAAGAAAAAACTGCATCGGACCGACGGTAAATGCATCATAGCGCGCCACTTATGGCGCATGCCATTAAAAGCGATTGCAATTGAAAACACAAAACAAAATCAAATAGCAACAGCAACAACAAAAAAAACTCTTCTTTCTTGAAGAAGAAGGTGGAAGAAAAAGAATTAGTGAATGAATATTTTTCTAGCCGTTTAAATGTTTATACAGAAAAGTGATATGACAACGATAACATCACATTCGCTGCCATTAATTCCGTTGCAACCGAATCTCAGCTTGTTTGAAAAGCGTTTGTCGGACATGAACGGTGTGGAAAGTGTGTTACCGCACAGTTTAATTCGTTTGCCATCGCCGAAACGTGAACAACAGGCTCAAATGTCACCGCAAGATTGTTATGGCAGTGAAAATAGTCAAAGTAATTCAATATGTGATATGGATCCTCGATCGGTGCCCAGCGGTGGTGGTTTTGATTCGAAATTTTCAATTGGCACACTGGCTGATGACCGGACGAGCAGCGAAGTGGCCCGATCGAATTCGGCAACATCGTACAAAGGTGATAATAACAATAAGGATGACGATGATGAGTACATGAACTACTGTAGCGATGATAGTGAATTGTCGGTGGGCAAAGAGGGTGACCATTCGCCAGATATTCGACGAAATAACAATGAACCGAAATCATCGTTTCGATTGAGCACCGATTCACCGTCGTCAATCGCTCGAAATAATAACAATCATCATCAGTCAAAATTGCCAAGTATTGTACGTCCAAACCCGACGCGACAAGAGGAATTCCTGTTGCGCAAATCCAATATGTACGCCGAAGAAATAATGAAGCATCAAATTAATTTCATGACAGTTACCAAAGGTTTGAATATTAGCCCAAGATTAAGTGATAACGCTTTTAGTCCATATCCAAGACCAAATGAACTGAGTCCCATTCATAATGCGGCCATTACGAATCCGCTGAAAATCGGCTTCAGCCGATTGAATGCGTACGCAAATGACAATGATTTGGGCAAAAAATGGAGTGTCATCGAAGATCGAAATGCACGGTCACCGGAAACAACACACTTTCGCCAAATTCATTCGCATCTCAATGCAATCTCAAAGATTACATCGGCCCTAGGACGTGATAGTAGTAATACACGCGTTCAAATGACATCACCCGCTTATACGACATCACGGGAAAATTCACAATCGCCACCATCGTCGAATGCATCCAGTGTCCGGCATATGATTCACAATAATTTCAATGAGAGTAGCTTGAAATTTAGCATCGATAATATTTTGAAGCCAAGTTTTGGGCGTCGAATTACCGATCCACTGCTAAAGCGAAATAAACCCGCACGTAAAAGTGGCACTTCGCATCGAACGGCAAATACCGAACGAGTTGGCCGAATGAATGCATCGATTGATTCGATGTCAACGGCAACGTTGCCAATTAATGAAAAGAAAACATCTTCAACAGATCAAACGGGGTCGAAAATATTGACACAACTATCAACCATAAATCCATCGAATACGGCCGAAACAACCGACAAAATGAACGCAGCAGCAACAACAACAACCAGCACATCAACATCGGCGGCAACAACAACATCCTCATCATCGGAATCATCGAGTGGCAAAGGTCCTTTATCGTGGCCTGCATGGGTTTATTGCACTCGATACAGCGATCGACCGAGTTCAGGTAAGAAAAGCACCCATAATTTCTATATTTATGTGATCATATTTCCTTCGATTGACACTTTCACTTCGAATGACGACATTTTATCACGGAAAACGACCATTTCTGTGAATAAATCCGAATTTCCCTGTGTTCTAGGTGCGAATACGTATGCAAGTCACAATTTGACGATCAATCATTTCGTTTGATGCTCCACTGTATTTCATACACACGTGGTGATTGCTAGTTAGATATAAATCTCACGCACACCGGTCATTCAAAATGACTGGGTAAAATTCTAAAGATTTTTTAGCTCGTAAACGAAAATCAAATCATAGAAAAACAAATGGATAATATAAATGGTCCGTAAAGGTCAAAATGTTTGTTGTCTAATTGAATACACATATATTTCTGGGAACGGACGACAAATATCAGGTTGTGAAATCAAAAAAATCTCCTCCGATAATAATTAATCAAAATGGTTGACAGATTAATATGAAAACAAATTATTCGACTGACTTAAAATGACGAATATCAATTTGGTTGAGATCGCAGGACATTTCTTGTTTTTTATTTTATCTTCGGTTGGTTCTTTTCCTCTTCTACCGTTTCATTCTCATAATTCATAATCTTGTGTCGTTTTCAATTTATTTATGCTCTGCGAGAGAGAGAGAGAGAGAGAGAGAGAGAGAAGATGTGAACAAAAGAGAATTTGTCATGAAAATGACCACAAAACTACCAATTTTCATGCAACCTGTGGTCTATTGAATGTTTGTTGCCGCGATGCGTTTATGCTCTCAAAACAACAAATCATTATTGTGTGAACGAACACGAAAAAAATGTATAGTAGTTGTTCAATGACCTTCAGGGAAGAAGAATTATACGGTGTTTGCTTTTCGATTTTTTATTGTTGTTGTTACTGGCCCGTTAGTTGATCAGAAAGCGATCCCAATTGATTTGGTTTTTTGGTTGGCAAGCAAAAGTAAACAGTCGCTGTGGAGTAAACTTCGCATGTGGCGATCGTTCGCACAACTCTCTGTCTTCTGTGTCGATCGATTAAATTATGTAATAAAATTGAGGTTTATAATGATTATTGTCGATGATAATGATGAGACAGTGATCGAATCAGCGCTTGGCCACTATGTGCAACAACAATAAAGTCTTCAAAGCACAAATTGAAACAGATGAAGATGACTGAAGGAGAAAAAAAAGCCACACGACTCAGCACACGAATTAAAATGTTTGATTCGAGGAGCCGCGCGCAATCAAAATAAGAAGAAAAAAAACACATCAACCGAGAAGTGAACAAGAAGATAAAGGCGCACACACATACAAGCGGAGTGACGAAACTGACAATAACAAACAAACAGAGGGAAAAAGAACTGTTAAACATCATATAACAAGAACTCTTATATCGGAAGCAATCTCAAATTGTGCGCCGAGCATACTACATTCAAATACACACAGCCACATAGATACAATTAGCAAGAGGAGAACGAGAGCATATGAGAGAGACGAACAGCAACAACAACAGCAATAGCGAAAAAAATGAGTCCATTTTGAGATTATCACCGCGCGCCGGGCCGTATATATACATTATACATTCGCTCAATTTAAATGTTCATCGGTGTGTCTGTGTCGGCTCTCAATCCATCCAGCGATTTCAATATATCCACATATATATATATATATATATATTCCAGTTCTCTCTCTCTCTCTTCGTTCTCGGGAGAACGTCGTTTCGTTTCGTTTCGTTTTATTATTTCATTAGTAATTCGCTACTCGAAAAACTAAACCAAACCACAGCCATAAAAATGCATATCAAGTCAAATAAAACAAAAAAGAAACTACACGAAAATGTCAGATCGGGTCCGCTAATGATCGGAATAATGCTCTTCATAAAGACGAATAAATGATATTTTTACTTGGGTGGTCTAATGCACCGTAGTGATACCGGCGTGCGCGCACATACGGCCCATATGTGTGTGTGTACGCCGGGGCCAACAGCAACAGCAACCGGGGCCTCGACTTAATACACTTACTTCAGCGGTACAAAGTGTTCGGCTGCTTGCTGCAGAAGCAAAAGCGCAACAGCAACTACCACAAAATGCAAGCGAACGAAATGAAAACGAGGCAATCGGCGGCTGGCTCGCATATACATATATGCATGGCACAGACATGAGTGTGATTCACATTCGATTGTGTTCGATCAGAACCGTATGCATAATATTAACGGTCACTGCGACCGTTTCTCTTCAATCTCATGCAAATTTTTTGCCCCGGCCCAACAGACCAACGGAAAATGCAACAAAAACTACAGAAAAGTTAACCACAAAATGCTGTGTCATAGTGCGTGTGAGTTTGGCGAAACAGAACTTTCAGCAAATGACGCGACGGCGCAACGCGATGAAAACAACAAATATTATCATCAGTGTAATTATAACCGTGCGATTTGTTTCATTTGACCACCATACATCTCATCTCAATCAATTTTTATGCATATCGGCGATTGAGATCGGCGTTTGCAGACGATTCGATCGATCATACAAACCGGTACAGCAATAATTTATCAATGAACAAGAACTCACGTGCCCCAGACACAACCGATCAGTTTCTCTCTCACACACACATGCACACTTCGGGCTTCAAATGAACGTACAAAAAGTGCAAGTGACCAAGGAAGTGGAATACATTGCAGCAAATAAGGTGAATGCAATACGATTTGGTGTGTGTGTTTTTTGTGTGCTGTTGAATGATCGGTATTTTTTGTTTTGGACATTGAATACATTTCAATCTTTTTACTTTTCGTAAAGTAGCATTTTTCCCATTTTTAGTCGTCACCAATTGAACATTGTAACGATCACACATACACACCGTTTATCTAAATGAACGCATATGTGACACTGCGTATAAATCAAATTTGTCGGTGTTAAAATGAAATCGATTGGACATTGGTGACTGTAGATTTTTTTCCGTCGTTGTTGGCTGGCTGGTAGTGCGTGCGGATATTTGTCACAGATGTTCAAGCCTCTGGGATTAAAAAAAATTGGCCGAAGCGCCGAGAAATCTGATTGAAAATTTCCAAAAATATATGCTTATTCATAAAATTGGGCTCGGCATTCGGTTACTTGTTTATAACACCGATCAAGACATTCAAGGAAAACGTTCAGTTTGCCATTCCAAAAAGGGAAGATCTTTTTCGTATACATTTCGTTTGGTATCGAAATGTTTGAAGCGAACGAGAAAAAAAATACTACCAAACAAACCCAAAAGCCATATGTTTGATGAACAGCAGTCACAGTTAGTTCCCTTTTAGTTTCTGTGTACGCTCAATTTAATTTGAAGTTAACATTACTTGATGTATGCACAAGTAGAAAAAAAAACAACGCTAAAAAGACGAAAAGAAGCATGCTCAAGTGAAAACGACCGAAAGTCAGAAGATCCTCTTCGAAAGAATCCAAAATCAAGCTGGACGAGAGAATCCAAAATCAAGGCGAATCCAAACGGAATTGCAAACTCTCTGCGATAAAATATTTGACAAATGAATGAGTGTGTGTGAGTGTGCATGTGAATGAATCGGTAGCGCGATGTGTGACTTATGTGTGTTCGTTTCATTTTGTTTCATTCCTTCTTTTTTCGCTCTCTCTCTCTCTCATCAAAAAGCCAAGTCCATATCAATCCAAATGGTAATCTCATTCAAATTCAAAACGATGTATGCACGACACTCCAACCAAATTTAATGCCTAACTCTATTTAAACGCACATAAATCTTCGAATGAACACAAAGAATAAAAACACAAGAGAACAAACCCATCGTTTTTTCGCTGTTTTTTATTCTCGTCAAAGACACACGATCGCAATGGAACAACAGCTCGGCTAAATTCAACGAGAGAAAGAGAACGTGAGAGAGTGAGCGGTATAGATAGAGAGCGCGTAACACAAACACAAGGAACATAATAACAGAAAGGAAAGAAAAAACACGAATTAAAACAGAAAAAAAGAATTATTCAATATCATATTTACGGCGATCGCTTAATTGCTTACTCTGCGCGGCCACACTGTTTCAAAAGTTGAGCTATCTTGTTCATTTCGGACAGCTCGACATGTTGTGTCATATTGTGAACGGTTTTATTTTTGGACGAATTCAAAATCGATTATGCCACACGAAATTGATGTACAGAATAATATCTCGTTTTATGTGTGTTCTTTCTCGTCTCTCGTTGTTTCTCTCTTTCTCTCTCTCTCTCTCTCTCTCTCTCTCTCTCTCTCTCTGTCTCTTTTCGGTTCTCCTCATTTTGGACCGAAATGAAACGTTGGCGATTGAGACAACGCATTGACACTGCGCGATGTTGATTGAATCTCTCTCCGGCGAAAGCCACCGCAGTAGCCGATATGCTAACGTTTGGCTCGTTCAAATGAAGACCAACAACGAATGAAGAGAGAGAAAAAATAGCGAAGAACAAACAACTAAAACGAAATTTAAATGTGAGACGAGATATGATAATAAACGGTGTGTATGCGTACGGATGCCATCAATATAGAACACGATCTTAGACGGGTTTTTATTCTTAAAATTCAAAATCACTACTCTTTTTTTTTCTTCCACGCGTTTTTGTTGAATTTCATGTTCATGTAAATATTTGCCTCGAAATTGTGTGCGTTTTAGCTATCTGTTCGGTCCCATCGCAGTCATTTATGTATGTTCAATCCATTCAAAATGATCCACCAACTCTTTTTAATGTTTAACCAACTGTTTGTACAATGGATACATTTTCTTGTTGTTTTTAGATATTGGTTTCGGTTTTAATTATGAGATGCATTTGCACCTTGCGACGCAATCACAAACAAATTATTATTTTTTTGGTTGAAAATGCTGTTCAATGAAATGGATTGAGATGAAATGACTTCAGCGCAAAGACACTGTTTATCGGACAGTTTCCGATGTTCATTTTACCAAGCAAATCAACCAAGAAGCAATCGCCCTCTGGAAGATCTTCTGTTGGTCAATTGTTCAGCAAGAATGT